GTGGGTTACGTATATTCTTTTTTTGAGAGGATTTTCATCAGTGATGGATATTATGACTTTTTAAAATAAAATCGTTTCTTAAAAAAATATCGAATTTTTTTTCTCATCTATTTATGTACTCATTTGCTTTTGATTATCTGTTATATATAACCGTTCGTATGTTTTTTATGCGGTGAACGCTATTCGTGTTTGTTGATGGTATATGCATTTTGTATGAAACCCTTCCTTTGACTTTTTCCATACAGCCTGAACTGTCTCAAGAAAATAAAATCATATTATTATTATTATTATTATCATTCCTCAGCCACCGTATTCACCGTATTCAGGAGGTAAAAACCGAGTAACTGAAAATGCTCAAGGACATATCAAAAAGAGGGACTACTTTGTAGGAGACAAAATAGAAATTGATTAATAAATAAATATTTTTGAGAAAAATGAAAATTCACCTTATTTTCTCAAGAGACCTCGTATTTCCTGCATTTTCATTTTGTTGTACGAGTGTCAATCAGGTCGTCACCATTTTAAATTTCATACAGTGTGTTCATAAAGTGATGCTTGTATTCATTATTGGCTGCATATATTAAAATCACCGAAGCAGATCATATTAAATTCTGAGCTCAATTCAATACTTCTCTGTCCCCTCGTCAAAATTTTCAATTTGAACAAATATGCGTGTGATAACTCTTTTAAAAAAATTGCCAATTCTCTGTTCGCGGTTTTTTTCCGCTGAATTTTTGATTTAAAGTCATTTTCAATGTTGCCACGTAAAGTAAAATATTTAAACTGCACGTTCTGTCTTTGAAATTCCTGATGTCACTTGTGTTGTTGCAGCAGGCTTTAGATTTTGAATAAACTCTCAAATAGTCAAGCAAGGTCGAATCTGGTGAACGAGTAGGCCTCTCAATTCCACCGCGTCTACCTATTTGAAAAAAGCTGATTGAGATAGTACCTTACTTCCAATACAAAATATGGTGTGGCTACGACCTGCTGATATACAATATTTTCATGACTTTTATCAGGCTTGACACCATTTGGCCAAAATGTTAACACAGTTTCAAGAATTTTCATGATACTGTTTTTTGGACGTACTGTTGTTTCTTTATCAATTACTCTTAATGTTTATTGCAATACTGTATTAAATAATATTGTGAAGAGTATATCCCTTCGTTTATTAACATGAGTGTTTGGACACTCATGTTGATTTGATATATAGACATATATTTTCCTTCATTATTCCCATTAGGACGATTGAGACAAATATTTATTGGACACATATCTTCGTGTTTCGATCTAGCTCTTCTTTGTCATTGTCATAGTCAAATGTAACGATATATGGACTTAATAATAATGATACCAAAACATGAAACGGTTGAGGATGAATATTCTTAATGTAATTTTGAGTTCAAAGAACTAGATAGAAAAAGAACTAAATAGAAATTTCCTTCGAATGATTATTATGAAATCGTGAACTGAAAAAAATCGTATGAAACACATAGCACTTGAATCTTCATATATCAAATAGAAAGTGATAGTATGCTAGACAATAACATAAAATTGTATACCACCTACCATATGTACCGTGACTTGCTAAAGGCGGACCTTTGATGTTGCTACCGGATGACTTTAAGAAATGAGCGTCAGCTAATCTTCATGAAACCACCGTACCGTGATACCTTTTATGATCATTACATCTCATTGTTTATTTCTCAGTTTGAATATAGTAGTAAGAAGGAATAATTTGGTGAAGTGCTTTGAAATGATGTCTGAAATAGTGTTCAAGTGCTAAATACAGAGCTATATAATAGTTCAATTGATAGAGGAATTATTTTGATTGACACTGGTACATAGTTGTACTTGGAATATTCTATTTCACTTATCCCTTCTTCTGATATTGATTCTGAGACAGGTCATGGCATGCCATTTAGCATCTACATAGGTTTTTTTCCTACAAAAAAAATAAGTTAGACTATGCTAGTTCACTAATCAATTATTTTAATATATTTCCTTCATATTTCGATGAGGCTCCATTAAATATCAAGTCTTAATACAATATAGACACGTGCAAACAATACATAACAAATCAAAATATAATAATAAATGAATTTATTGAAGTGAAATACATTTCACGGAGTGCAAGAAAATATGATATGCAAATAGAAAGCAGATAGTTACATAGATTTATTACATTATTGTGCTGCATTATGTAGGTGGGACTGGTCATATTTCTCAGGTATGATATAAATGTCTAAGATCATAAGATGTCATTTTGAATAAAAAAATAATATGACGCACATTGTAAAACAAACACATACATATTAAAATATGAGTTAAAAATAGAATAGATAGATAAACAACATGTTGCGATATATACGTCACAATGACAGTGACCTGGCATTACCAACTTCAAGTATAAATTCATCTATTGAAACCTTTTTCTGATAGAAACAATTTCAACTGTTTTTTAAAAAGTTAAGTTAGCAGCGTCTTCATATCGCATGGCCGTATATTGAAGAGTCAGATACCAGCAAACATAGGAGACTTTTTATACTTTGCGTGATGACGTTTTTGGGTAATGAGCATATAGTTATTCCTAGTATGATAATTATGGACTTCCGATCTCGACTCTAGTTGTCTTCTATTTTCATGGATATACGTCAATGTTTTTAGAATGAACAAACAGGCAACAGTTAGTATTTCATTTTGACGAAAAATCTCTTTACATGACGTTCTGTAATCTAGCTTGAAAATTAGCCTCGGTAATGTTTTCTGTTTTATGAAAATTCTGTCCACCTCAGTTGCTAAACCCCAGACAGCAATGTTGTTGTAAATAATGGACTGAAACTTGGAGAAATAAACTGATATCAGTGCTTTAGGATCTATTTTATTCTTAAGGGATTTAATGAGATAATTAATAATGATTCAATTTCTTGGATGTGAACTCTATATGTTCTCGCCAAGTGAAATGTGAGTCAATTATTGTTCCTGAAAATTTTGTTGAGTTTGTTAATGTCAAGGATTTATTCCGGTAAATGAAATTGAAAGCATGTAGGCTCCGAAATGGATTTGCAAATTTCATGCAGAAACTTTTTCTCAGGTTAACTGTAAGTGTATTCCTGTAACACCAGTCATCAAATTCGCGTAGAGACTGACTTTACAAGATTATGCATTTCTTCCGTTGTTTTATTTGAAAAAATAGGGAAGTGTCGTCTACGTAAAGGTATATCACACCATTACTTATATTATTAGGTAGATCATTGACATATAACAGAAAAATTAGTGGACTGAGTACACTGCCTTGAGGTGTCTCATTTGTTACAAGGAATTTATCGGACATTATATCATTCTGTTTCACCTGGAAATATATATTTGTTAGGAAATACATAATAACTGATGTATGTTTCCTCGAATACCAATATTAAATAGCTCATCTGATACGAATTTAATATTGTAACGAAGGTTCTACTCAAATCAAAAAATAAACCTACCACAATGTTTTTTTTATCCATTAAATCATGTTCTTCTTGTACAAAGTTGAACGTTGCAGTTTCTATCGAGCGATTTTTCCTGAACCCGTGTTGGCACTTTGTCATTAGATCGAATGTTTCCAAGTAATCATTTATTCCGCCAGATATAATTTTTTCAAAATTTTTTGAGAATATACAGATTATTGATATGGGACGATAATTCTCGATATTTTTACCGTCACTATTTTTAAGTATACGGACAAGGACCGCAATTTTAAGCAGGTCAGGATATTCTCCAAAGAAAACACATAGGTTTAAATTATGTCCTACAACTTCAGATAATATATCCACGCATTCTTTGATTATATTTATGGATACTTCATCATTTCTTGTGTTTTTCTTATTGTCTAACGAGGCTATAACTTTTTTACTTCATCCGTAGTGACTGGTTCAAAAAACATGATTACAAGATTGGATAATTCCATTCCCATTCTGAAAATGACAAAATTGAAAATCATGTAATAACAATAGTAATAATGAGACGAACAAAGTTTAGTATAACTAATGAATGTTATGTTCGTTACACTAACTAGAACAGCAATGATAGTTTTACAGTTTTTGTTGCAAAAATAGTTGAAATCTATTTGGACTGGAGAAAGATTTTACTATTAAAATTGTGTAAATAAGTTCTATATTTTATTTTTCTGCATAGATATGGAGAATTTCAAGTTCTGATGATTTCATCAGATATTTTCAATCAGTTTGCTTCAAGAAGGGAGTGTGAGATCGGATCTGTCTGTCTGATTCCAAATCACATTCAAGCATTATGGACACTTTATAGTCTTTTCTGCTCATAAACATTCAAAAAATAGTGGTAGTCTATATCACAGTTTCCGGCATTCCATTTTATTGTCGAGTCTAACTCTCAGATTTTTCACTTGAATAACAACGGGCAGGTTTATATCATATTATTATGTTCAGATCACCAACTCTCGATATAGTCTTCCAGTTGTTATCACTGGATACTAGCAGTTTCAATTTATACCTAAGGCATGTTTTTTGATACTCCGAGTGAATCAATTCTTCATTTATAGCAACATTGCTGTACAGTACATTACCACAAGTGGATGAAGAATATAATTGGGTATTGTCACTAGCAGTTAACTAGATAGAGAACAGGGCCGATAATTGACCCTTGTGATATCTCAGTCCAGAAATTTTCAAACTAATTTATTTTTAACAATAATACAGTTGAATTTGTCAATTATTATTTGCAAGTAGAAAGGTATCAACTATAAAAATAATCGAACATTATTTGAAATGAATACAAAGACATTACGAATTATTGTTCTGAGCTCTTGAGAAAATATTAATTTCCGGAGAACGTGGTTGAAAAATGTTCTTGAATGGAAAAATGGAACACACGTGAAAACACGCTCTCAAAAATTTGAACTTTGTGAAACCTGTTTCAGTCAGGTCTCACCTCAGCTCACAAAATTATTAAACTCACTCATGCAAATTTTTTTTTGATTGCAGATTCAGGATCGAGAAAAAGTAACAAAAAACTATCCTCACTGCTCTTTGGCAATGAAGACAATGATGGTGAGCATTAAATATTTTCTATAAGTGTAACTAATAAGATCCTGTATTTCATTCTGTTTAATTTTCTCGAGTTAGAAAAAAGTCACTATTACATAGAATTGAAGACATATATGGATTCGTGGAAATATTATTCAAACCAGAAAATTGTTTGTTAGAAATTGTTTGAGAAGCAATATTTAGGCGTCTTTGATTTTAATTCAGTTGTCGTTCCTGTTCAGATTCATTATTTGAGGAAACGATGACGATTTTCGTTGAAAATATTGAAAATAATTGTTTTTTCATTAATTGACTGACTGAATCAAGTGCACTGTTAAAAAATCCTACAATACTGATGACGGCGACAATTCAATTATTGCACTAATTGATAAGAAACCACCTTTTGTGAAATCTCACGTTCTATGCGGAATAATTTATTCTATTTCTATCCCAAAAAAATAAGGAATTTTTTATTTTGAGTATACTTTTGCGTTGTAATGAAATTTGACATACTTTGACATACTTCAACATACTTTTACAGTAGAATTTCACACCCCACCATAATCCTACAGTGAATCTTACACTTCTGCATAATTTTACACTGCAATTTTCAATTTTAAGGGTAATATTACCTGCGGATAATCCATTGCAAATAGGAACGTATTCCGGGTTATTTTGAATAAAATTGTACCGTAATAGAATGCTGATTTTAATATTTTAGCTAGTATCATTATATTTGAGCGGTCATTCTGTCTTGTGGGCTTGATTATCGTCTTGACATGAAGTTATACAAACTAAACGATTTTTTTCGTTTATTTTCAATGAAAAATTGTGCGAAGTAGAACTTAAAAATGAATAGTGTCCAAATTAACACACCTCTTGTATCATGTCATATGTTTCTTTCTTCATCATAAATCAGTGCTATTACCCAAAAAGGAAAATGAAAGATCATCAAAGAAACAGTTAGTTCGAAGATCTGAAAGAATTAATCTGATGTCATTTCATTGTGAAATAACCAGAAAAAAGTTAGGACGTCCAAAAGCAAATATGTTAAAAAATATTCAGTTATTTTTGTTTATTATTTTTTTACTTTCTATTTTACGATAAAAGTAATAGGAAAAAAGTTATGAACAATTTAATTTGCTACAAATTATATATTACATTTTCTGTAGGGTTGCTAATTCACGAGATACCGCGAAAACTTTTGCACCCCTTTTTCCAAGATGGCGGCTGCGGGACAACAGTTGTGCCCCCATAACCTTGACTTTATCTCTATTCTCAACCCCTTTCGAAAATGTTATTGCATCCTTTGACGCTAAGCCGAAAAAAATAAAATTTTTCCATAGCACCAACATTCAGTTGAACTCCATTATTTGCCATGTTAATGTCCGCGAAATCTGTTCCCAGTAGTCAATTATGTTCTATATTTGGTTTTCAATTATGGTTTCCACGCTACAGCACACTTCGATTATAACATACTAATCACGACAAACATTACAAATACAAAGATGGGTGGGTAGTTATTGAAACTTCTTGAATACATGCGATGAATGATGTGAAGAACGGACCTTTCTCTAATCACGTGAAAGTTTACTTGGGAGTGTATGTGGAAATGAGAAATTATCTTTTGTGTTATTGAGACAGTGATGAATTCAGAAGTGAGTTCAGTTAGAAAAAAAGAAATACATGTTCATTTATGCCAATGTAATTGAAATAATATCAGTATTGAGTCCAGTTATGTACATGCAGGTATAGTATTTCCAATACCAATTGGAACAGCACAGAGAAGTAATTCCCGCCTCGACATAGGCGTCGGCATATTATTTTTCAGTGATAGTTTTTTAGTTACTTATTCTTACAATCATTGCAATTGATCACCCCATAAAGAAGTTATCTCAACTGAATTTATCCACCATGGGTAATTATGAAAAACTTCGAAATTTAAGGTAACTGATTTCCGAGTCGAAAACATTAAAATACAATGAAAACACAAATAATCACACCGAATTCTCGTCAAACATATATTTACAAAATAATATAGGCCAACAAAATTGCTAGAAAACTCAAAATTCTTCTTCGCTATATTCGGATGAGGTGAAATCATCATCGGGTTGAATAACAATCGGATTTATGGAACTTTGCACATAATATTTGTTCTCTTCTTTTATAACGCGGGCCACATAGTTCTTCCACACATCACTATTACCTACTTTATTCACCACTCGCCTTATATTTTCAAGCACCACAGCATTCAAAGTCGGTGACTGATTACATTTCCGCAAGCTTTCTTTCATTGTGGCTCAAACCATTTCAATTGGATTGAACACACCATAGTATGGAGGCAAACGTAAGAGAATATGACCACGTGTTTCACACATCGAATCAATAATATACTCTTTTTAGAAATTACGTTGTTCGATGGAATCTTTTCGGGTATTTCCATGTCATGATTTCGCATGAAATCAACAATATCTGTTGTTTTGTGTTATTGTTTGGTATTGTAGTCAATAACCGAAAATGATACGAAGCGTTATCCATAACAATAACCGAGGGATATTTGGGAGAAGCTGCTCACTGAACCAGGTTTCGAATAAAGCCGCAGTCATATCTTCGTGATAATCAGCAGACGAATCTTTTATATTTTTGGCCGACAGAAGCAAAGCGTTAGGTACGAAACCACTTTCATTCCCGGCATGCAAAATTATAACAACGTTTTCCCCTTGAAGAAGGTGTGTTCAAAGCACAATACTTGGTTTCGTCTACCCAGCCATATTTGACAACATCATGGGTGTCAAATCAAGTTTCGTCGAGGTAGATTATATGTCTGCTGGATTCTCGGTAGCTTTTCATTCGCCTCAAATATTCTTATCGGAGTTGAACAATGCATGTCAATTCCATTATGACCATCCGATTGTTCAATTTTTTATATTTGAAACCACAAGACAATAAGACACCTCGTAGAGTTTCTAAAGATCTGTAATTGTAATCGGGATAGTCGAGTAATTTATATCAAATCATTTCCAAGGTTGGTACTTCATTTTTTTGGTATACACCATAAATTGTTCGCCGAATCACATCCCCTATGTCAACAATAGATTGAAAAGCGGACAAATTAATTTGCAGGTAGTGGTTCCACTAGTTAATTACCGAAAAATCAATTAGGATAATCATCATTTAACGAACAAAGTCCACATTAGACCAAAACACTTTAGGTATATAAACAGCTAACCCTGCTTTGCTTCTCCTGAAGATGCTAACCTTGTTAGCGAAACGCGCGTCGAGTGCAAAAATATCAGCTTGGTGTTTCTAGAAAACGTTTTCAAGAATCGGTTTGCTAAACCACTCACTACCTCACCTAACCCCACGAACACACGGCACTGATAAAGAAATATTTTGAAACGGACAAATGTCAGTATTCAGCCAGTCCAGCTAGCCGAGCCTTTATTCCGGTTCATCCATGACACAATGAATATTTTTCAAAATTTCCTTGACTTTTTTCTATGATAAATGGGCGTGGTCGTTTCTGAGACTATCTTACATGCCAGCATTTAAAACCTGTTAAAAACCTGTTTTTCCATTAATCAGCCGTCGCCCCCATACGAACGACAACTCTCAGAAGTTGAGAAACTTGTGCGAGCTAAGGAGTAACGAGGTCTTACCTTTCAACGTGTGATTCCTAACACAGACAGTCTAAAGTCTTCTCTACGTATTCTTCTTTGTTCATGGCTATGACCGTTTTGCCTTTATAACCTCGCGTGAAAACAATGTTATTTGCTGCCGATTTTTCTTTTATGAGTTTAACTGGTTTCAATTCCAGAATGAACCTATATTTCAAGGTTGAAGACGCTGCGTTGTTTAGTATTAACTTGGGAGCCATCAATAGCGACCGTTTTTGGTGAATTTATGAAAATTGAGAAAATCGGTCATCCTTATGTGGTACAATACTTTTATTTGAAAGGCCTCAGGCCAGCCACTATAAAAGCTGAATTGGATTCCACTCTGAGTGAGTCTGCTCCTATGTTTACAACAGTGAAATATTGGGTAGCAGAGTTCAAACAAACTGCCAAAATGAGCATCGTAGTGGTCGATCAACTGAGATGATGAGATGAAAAATATTATTGAATGATCAAATACTCATTTGCCTGTTTACTTTGTCATTCTCATCAGAATCCTTGCGAAAGCAAATCATTTATGTGTATTGTAGAGTAAAAGTGTAGCCTATTAGATATCAATAGACACCAGTTTTTCAGTTAGGAATTACTCTACTTCATCTTTTGAAGAAGTTAGCTTGGTTGATGAAACAGAGAGCTGATATCTTCTCTAGCTTCATCGCCAGATTAGAATAGTATTCAGTGAGTACAAGCCATTTGTCACTTCATCTTGACGGCAACCCCCACCCTAGTATCCCATACTTTATAAAAGTGGTCACCCGGTATAATCGTTTTCCAAGAGTTTGCCAGAGATTTATAAATATTTAACATTTTGGCCGTTTCCATTTATTATCACTCCGATTTGAAATTCGTTCCATCATCCCGCTCGTACTACCAATTGTGAAATTGGTGCGCTGAGGATTTCTCCCCTAATTGAAAAGTAAATTCTTTCATGGTTATCGGGCTCGCTGTCCAAGTGACTGATTGATGGGCTGAGGATGCGTCCACGATGCCCTACATGGCTTTTGTGTGTCTGCATTCATGTTAGATCAATGCCGCCACTATTCGTGATTCCAAGATGCTACTGTTTTGCTTTTCCACATTAGCCCGCTTTTTTAGGCGGAGAACGGAATGGTTTGAGATTGTGATTCGTTTTTGTCTCAGAGAATTGGGGAAAAGCGTTTGAGGAAATTCTCGCGTGAGGGGAAATCTCCTTCTGAAATCTCAGTGTAGCATCACTTCCAGTTTTGCATTCTATAGGGTTTTACAATATTTTACGACAACAAAACCTTATTTTTGTTCTCGGAAAATCTACTTTCTGGTTATTTCACTTCTTATTATTTGTTCATGGGGTACCAAAGGAGTGTTCTCGTT